ATTGTGAGCGCGCTATTTTCATGAAATCATTAAAACTCTGCAGGTAAAAACTGTACGTATTTTCACAATTAGTATGCAAAAATTTGGTGTTTTCCGATGATTTTTAAAAATTATACAGCAAAATTATTAAGAAAAAACATGCTTCACGGAGCATGTTACTTTTTCGCACTTTCACATTTCAGAGACATGGCTTTGAAAATAAAAAATTGCACTGTTGTAGTACATTAAGATTTATCATATTTCACCTCTCGCTAAGATACTCATGAAACGTCAATTTGCAAAATGTTGAATTAAATTAGAGGAGTTATGACTGTTTTATCACTAATTATAGATGATCAATGCGTAAAAACAATGCCAGAAAATGGTAACGTCATTGAAGGTCTTGGAGCTCACCGAGCTCTTAAAAAATTATGTGTGCAGACAGGAAAATGCCCGAAAGAGACTAAAATGTTTTAGATGCTGCTGGGGATGGCTACACGTATCTACTACCAAAGTGTTCAAGTGGTAACAATTTTGTAAGAATGGAAGGATAGACATTTTTGATTATCAACTCTTGCGATACTCCAATATCCTGTTCATTTGTCAAATCGAGTATAAAATACTCAGGTGAATTTGTGCTCCTTTGACCTCTTATGTAAGTAGTTCATATATATTAAGGTATGTCACACGTGAAATTTGTTAAATCAAGAATTTTTTGAGAGGTATATTTTGGATAAGTACTTATATAGTATGACTCAAAATCGCAGAGAAAATGGGGGGTCAGTGTGCATATAACTGAGCTACGGTACAATTAAGTTGACCTTTTTGCACTTAAATTGTAACTCTTTGGTTAATCACTTTAACCGTTATCATATTTTATCAGATGTAACCATGGCAATAAACATAATCTTAATTTACATAAAATAGTCTGAATAATATTTATCATTGAACAAATCATGCAAATTAATGCGCGTAAATTATTGTGTGAACCTTTTGCACTAAAAAAGTCTCATATTTGGGATATTAAAAATTTAAATAGGCAATAGAATATTTTCTTGTATCAAACTTTTTACGACTTAAGTGCTGATCGGTCAAAAGTATCGAGTAGTTAAAATAATGAAAGAAAAAGTTGGGGTCAGTGATGTAAATTTTGAAATATTGGTCAAAATATGCGATTTTCTGGCAAAAAATGTGTAAATTTTATCTTGACTTCTTTAATATATCTTCATTTCTTGGCAAAATTTGTTGAGCAATGGTGTAAATTTTGTTATAAAAAATATAAATTGTGACCTATATTTAATATTCCAGACATATCATAACGGAAAATATTCTCTGAGTAAAAGTATGTGAGGCTAAAGTTCCAAGATATTAAATTTAATAAATGTGTAGATTTGCAGAAATTTCTGCTAAATATCCTTCCACCACAAGAAATAGTCCCTTATAAATCTTGCTTCTTTATGAATTTTTGAGCAGTTTTTTAATTGAATGTTGAACATTTTACATTGTTTAATTTAAATATGTTATACAGATTGAATTGTAATAAATAGTTTTTAAGTAAGAGGTTCTGACTGAACTTTTCTAAAAGGCTGACGAGTGACATACCTTAAATTCATTACTCAGTACGAGTCTAAATTAAAAGAATTAAAATGATATAAACTCTGTTTCAAAGGAAATTTTTGAAAGAAGATTTTTGTTTAAAAAAAGGGGGGATTAAAATTTGGCCCATAATTGGAACATTTTTTTTTTTCAGAACAACAAATGTAATTGTTTTAGTGCATAGCATTTTTGATGAACTTAAAAAAAATAGATGCCAAAATGACAACTTTCTGAAATGATTGAATAGTGCAACCTTTTATCTGAATTTGGGTAGGAAAAACCCTTATATGCAGAATTGAGCTAAATTATGTTTGAAAACTACTCACTGTGATTGTGAAACCTCCTGAAAATTTCATGGCATATTTAAAAAATCTTCTTCTCAAGAACCACTCTGCCAGAAAAGTTTTAACTTATGTGAAACTTAATTACATTGTGAATATTCAGGTTTGTCCAAATCATGACCGCCATGGGTAGGATGGGCCATACTAGGGAATCAAAGTTTTACATTGCAATGTATATGGAAAAAAATCTTTAAAAATCTTCTCAAGAACTACTTGGCAAGTTGAAACATGTGTGAAAACTACATAACAAGGCGTAAAATCAAATTTATTCTTTCAAAACTTAACTCCTTCTACGGTTTTGACCCGATTTCATTAAGACATGGAGCACAAGTAGACTATATATATTACAAATGTATTCCTTCTGACAAAACCTTCGCTTGGGTACCAACAATTTTCCCCTTTGACCTTGAACTTTGAGTTTGATTTCTTTCCTTAGGCCCTAACTTTAATGGTTGGTGCCAGGGCTTCAATATTTCACATGTTTAATTCTTGTGACAAAACCTTCTCTTGGGTACCAACCCAACATATTTGATCTTTTGTTCTCTACCTTGGAGTTTAGTCTAGTTTTGAAAAACTTTAACCTTAACCATAACTTTTGAATGGATGGATGGTGCTTGGGCTTTCAGATTTCATATGTGTATTTCTCCTTACAAGACCTTCCCTATGTAGCATTAAATTTTGACCTTGATCTTTAAGTTTTACCTACTTTTGAAAAAAAAAAAACACCTTGACCATAACTTTTGAACGCTTGGTACTATTGCTTTCATGTTTAACGTGTATTCCTTGTGACAAGACCTTTAATTGGGTACCAACAATTTTTGTTCTCTTAACCTTGGAGTTTGAATTGAATTTGAGATACTTTAACCTTCACCATGAGCTGCCATTTGGGGACATCAGTGTTTCACGAACACATTATTTTTTATTTTTTTTTTTAAAGTCATCTTTGAAAAATTCTCTTTTAAACAGAATTTACATAATTAATTTCAGACTGGTAATGAATTTAGTATATGAAATACAAACATAAGAGGCCCATGTGCCATATGTTCATCTGACCATTGGATGCTCTATTTGGCAAATACATGTATATAATTGGTGTTAGTTATAGAATTCTTGTGATTTCTTCCCTAGTTACCCAGTTATGAAGGAGAGTGCATTTAGAGGTAAACACCTTGGTGTGGGTATTGCTTACGACACCATCTAGTCTTTTTATTGCATAACTTTAAGTTAAACAACATATCATAAAGAAATTCTATTTGATTTAACTATCTTAACCGACAACTTTGTCATTCTCTACGATGAAAATCTTTCTTACATATTTACAAATTAAGTGCTAAACATTCTGTTTTGTTTTTCGGTGTGAAAAGTGATATGGTGTACTGGTCTCTTTCACTAAACATAAGCCTAAGATTTACCTCATGCAGATGTCATTACAGTATTTAGGTTGAGGTTCACGTCAAAATATGGTTGAAAGAAAATTATTCCTGAATCTCTCCTCCCCTCTTGGCATTTTTGCATTAAACTGGAGCTGTTTTTCTTCGATAGATGACAAATTATATGTAAACTTCCTGATGATTTTTTTTTTATTTTTTGTATACTAGTATTGTATTGAGGGAGGGGAAGTGATTTGGCTCTGTACTTCATTTTTAAAGCAAATGCTCGACTTTGACCCCGAAACAAACTTGCTTGCCTTCCTGGATGGCTATATTTTCTTTTGTTTGTTTGTTTGTTTGTTTGTTTGTTTTTTGGGGGGGGTGGTTTTTTTTTTTTTTTTTTTTTTTTTTTTTTTTTTTTGGTACCAAAATGTTTATAACGATTTTTTGGTACTAAAATGTTAATAACAAATGGTTTTACAAGATTTGAATATGAAACCCCTCAAAAGTTTATTTTAAATCAAGACCGCCAGCTCAGATGTGTGCTTTTTGATAAGATATACATATACGAGGGTTGTCCCAGAAAAACGCTAACATTTTCAATATCTTTTGTTTCACTAATACTATAAAGTTAAAAATTGGCATACACCATAATGAACATTTTTTGAATAATGCGTAATTTCAATAAAATATGTCTATAAATAACATTTTTTTCTCTCAGGTAAATTAACCACAAAATAGCTGTCGCGAACCACTGACGACGTCAAAACGTAACTTGTGGCTTTGTGAATTTATTAAGGAATAGTGCGTCTGATAAAATTCGTTTGAAGCATAAATTCGACACTGGATTTAATTCCCTTTTACTTACCAAGTAATCCATCTCAGGTATTAATTAACGTTTCCAAATTAAAGATCGCGGAATTAATTCTTTCAATAAACTTTAACAATTTCCCAACCCAGGTCATAAGTTTACCTAACTGCTCGCTTAGTAAAACGGCCGTCGGCACGTATGACTTCCAGCTTCTGACTTTTCAGTTTGTTGGTTTACCAAACGCTTTTTCCATCGAATAATCAGTCAAGCCATCCTCGAACCTCTTGAACCAGGTATAAAATATGTTTGTGTCGTTCCATCGTTTACATATCTTTTCCCGTATGGACAGGATTCATATCCCGCTCAACAGTACTGCTTGATAATTTGGTGCTCCGCATTATCGCCCGACGTAACTATTTTTGACAATATCTTAGTAAAGGTGTTTTTGCATCTAACGTCAAATTTTTGTCACTTGTGATGCTAAATTAATGAATTTTTACACATGAGTATTTCAGATCATAGAGTTATTATGGAGGTAATTTTTTTCACTTTAAATTTCCTTATAGCCTTGTAATAAAGGAAACTTCCCTGATAATGCTATTTCTAAAGCTCAAAAAATTGCCACGTGCGCCGAGCACCGATATCTGACACCCTTTAAAAGCTATTTTTACATGCAAATGACATTACAACATTATAATATTTTGTCCAAATAGCAAAAATTTCATTTCCCAACAAGGTGTAAAAAGTTATTTATTATGGTCGATTAGTTTTTGAAATATTCAAAAAGTTCGCATTTTTCTGGGACAACCCTCGTATGTAGTAAAATGTTATAATGTTGTGCACCAGTTAATGTTTTTTACTTCACTTTCATCTATGTATTCGCTGTGAATATTGCAGGTGTCCTAGGATTCGCTCTGGACATGGTAATGTTGTCAAATTTTGATCACACACAACTTGGATGGTCATTTTATCTCTCAGTAACTATGAATTCAATCATACTTTTTATGGTAAGCAATCATGAAATGAACAATTTGATACAAAATTTACTCATTATTTACAAAGATTTTAACATGAAATATGAAGATAACGAACAGCAATCAATCTCAATAGTCCATATAAATTGAAATTTCAGATTACAATGGCGATACCTTGTAGCATATATTTGTGTAAGAAAGATGGCTATAGCCCACTGGACTAGAAGCAGATAATCGTTAATTAGATTTGGTAAGTATTTTACTTTCAAAGCTTTCTTCGTGTATTTGATTTTAATATTCAATGATATGATTCAATTTCTTTTTCCTCTTTTTTAGAAAAGTACCTTCGGAAACATCATTTTTGGACAGTTCATTCTTTGCTTGGTTGATGGTTGTGCGTAGTCCTATAAACAATTGCTTTCACCGCAAACTAATATTTTGTTGTGCCTATTTACGAAGGAAATGTGCATTTAGATATTTATATATTTATGGCCTGGTCGGGCCTTGTTCAATTTTGGATGATGCTTCTTATTTAACATTTGAATTAGTTGCTCCTAATGTTGTTTTCAATGATTGATCCAACTTCAGTATGTATTTTCTTGTTTAGCAAGCTCTACTGACAAAATGTATAAGACCATTAGGACATTAGATTTCATCAAAACGTCCCTTAAAAACGTTTGAATTTGAGTCATAGATTATTATATTTATTCTCGTAATATTTTATTTTCTCTTCTCGTGGGACTATTCTCAAGGTATCGCTAATATAACACTCAAGGTTTATTGTTTGATGCAAACATTTTGAGAATTGGTAACATCTAGAATATTTTTTTTCTTTTTTAGGCAGTAGTGTTTATTATCTTTTTTGAAAATGTGAAAATTTTGAAATGTGTTACTTTTACTTTTTACAAAGACAAGGAAATTCAACCGTATTACTTCATTTTTTTATTAATAAATATACTTAAGGATTTTGATACTCTTTTCAGTATTTCTATAATTATGATTTGTACATAAAGAGAAAAAATGTCCACTAAACTACTATGACATTAATATAAAAGATATTGTTTATGAAGTTTATTTTCTTGAATGTAAGGTAAAACTTGAAGATTTTCGTCACTTTCTTTTTCCTTTCTAATATTTTTACCATTATTACTATTCTATTGCTTTTTTTCACGTGTGATAAAACAATGAATGCTGTTGGTCGTGTTCGATATTTTTGTTGTGAAAATATTCTTACTGCGTTCTAAATTCTTGGTTGCTTTTTTTTCATTCCACATTAATTTTTGCCTTTTATTTCATGCTTTGACAATTCAATATATGGTCATTTTAAACTTCTTTCTTGATAACTGTGTTTTATTGATTTTGTTTACAATTCAACAGAACAAAATTTCTGTTGCCGTTAAATTTAGTGGCAAAATCAATAAATTAGCCCTAAAGGATAACTGCACTTAACGCTGGGTTTTGGGTCTTTTTTCGTCGCTTCTGTTGCTTTTACATCTTAACCTTATTTCACTTTTGTATATTTACTGAAGAATTCTGTCAATTTGGCACCAAAATTTAAATGTTAAAATGATTTTAGACTGTGATACAATAAAATAATTCTATGTTTTTTGCCTTTACTGTTTTTCAGATATAGTGAATTTACACTTACCTGCCCTTGATTAAACATTAGGTATGCATGAGAGGTGGAGTCTACATTATAAGAATGGCTCTGAAATTAGACTAGATAAATAACAATGACATGTATAAAAATACGAGATTACTCTTTCCCATCTCCCCCTTATTCTGTATGGCACAAGTACACTATTAACAAAGATTTCAAACCGAAATTAACAATATCAGCACTTCCATGTAAGGAAAGAATACTTTGAATCGATGCCTGATAATTCAACGTGTTCGAGCACAGTGTCCTAGTAAGTACAAAACATGCTACCTTACAAGCCACGTAACGGAATTTAGTATTCACAGATTTACCTGAGGTAAGAAATCACGTGGGAAATTATAATATTCAACATGCCATAGCCTAAGTTACAACAGAGGGCGAATGTAAGAAGAGGCAGTTTTTTCTCTTTTAAACCATGAGCGCATGTTTATCTATTAATCTCCTTTTGACACAACATTATTAATGCAAATATACAACAACTGTTAAACGGGGAACAATAGACAAACATGCGCTGACTATGTATAAAGTCAGTGAAAAAGGATGGAGATTCAAGAAATAAGATTCCATCTTCGCTAGCCAAAGGTTTCTGATACGCTACTCTTCTCATAAACCCTTGGCATACGGTGCTGACAAAAGACGGGATTGTTTTCGTCACGTGATCATGATTCTAAACAGGTTACGCACAGATTGCGTCATCGACAGAAATAAAAAGCGTATTTAAATAAATAATGTTTTTTTTAGAATAATTAACAAGAAGGTATTGAGTTATGTTGATTTGTTATTTAAACATGTTAAAATGCAAATCTGCATCTTCAGTATTGATTCTTAATCACTTATTTTGTACGTAGCTTAAGATATTGGATGACACCATATAGCTATTCATAGAATGGCATGTTATCTTACGGATCGTTGTTTACTTGCGTTTTTCATTCCCGATATTAAAGAGTCAAGATATATCCCGAACGCAAATATCTTCATTTACAAAAAACAACTGCTGATTGGTCGAACGATGTCGATCAACTCCAATCACAACTTGAGAAAAAAATCCCAACTTTTTTAACACCGTGTGCCAAGGGCTTACCTATCAGAAAACCTTGGCTAGTGGTGACCCCCGCCTTTGAAAACAGCTTCGTATTTCGTAAATACATACTTTTATTTAATGTAATTACGTAAAGTTGTAGATTAGTTGTTGACCATTTCTGCAATTAAAAGTAAAATGCTTGTTTTGAAAGTTTATTTTGTCACAATTTTGGCATGTCCTTAAGTGCAGTCAGCCTTTAAAGGTGCTTAGACACAGATTTGAAGTTAATATTTTCTCAAATTTTCTGTATGATATCACGACTTATATATTGCAATAGCATTTCACACGAAAATATAATTAAAAACTTATTTTATCTGGAAAATATTGGAACTACGAATTCCTGGCCGCGTTTGAATAACACATCCTTGCACTTTCAGAAATTTTATCTTTATCCTTAACATTTAAGAAAAGAAGCGATTTTGTTGTGTATTAATGAAAAACATTACATCTATAATCCAGAAAATTCAGAGTAGAAATGTGCGAAAGCAAATCCCCTCACTAATATCGTCAGCCCGTGCTCAGTGTTGTGTACAGAGTTTAACAAATTGAATACACCCGTGAAACGTAAACTGTTTTTGTAAACAGGGCACGAGCTCTGTTATTGTTAATGTTTACGATTCACCGGGTGTGTTCAATTGTTAAACTCTGCACACACCACTGAGCACGGACTGACAATACTGTGAGTGGGTTTTGCTTTCGAACATTTCTACTCTGAATTTACTGGATTATAGTTTTAATATTTTTCATTAATACACAACAAAATTGCCACTTTTCTTAAGTATTACGAATAAAATTAAAATTTGTGAAAGTGCAAGGATGTGTCAATCAAACGCGTTCAGAAATTTGAAGTTTCAATAATTACGAGATGAAATAAGATTTTTATTATATTTTAATATGAAATGCTATAGCAACATATAAGTCATGAAATTATACAGAAAATTTGAGAAAATATTAACTTCAAATCTGTGTCCAAGCACCTTTAAATCAGTAAATTCTAAAGACAAGATATTGATAAATTTAAGGAGAGTGTAAATTAAAGTTGGTTTTTTTTCTAAAAAAAAAAAAAACGACGTGAGAGCATGTTTGCATTAAATCTGCATAAGCGGTAAATACCACCTTTATGAAGGATAAAGAGGATATTCAATGTTTTGTAGTTGAATATGGAATTTATTTCGAAGTGCGAAGCATGAGTGAAAATATCAAAGAATCTTGTCTCTCGAGTGAAAAACATCTAAAAATATCTAATATCATTCAGCATAGTCGATTCAAAGTTTTCATATCTACAGTTTCTGATAGATAAACCACATTTTCCTCAAAACTCGACTCGTTCAATTCATTTACAAATCACTAATATTACAAGCAAAAAGTATTATATTTTTGGATTTTTAAAGAGAAAAGAAATACAAAATATTGCACATTTTTCAGAAAAAAAAAATGATTGGAATCAAGGTTTTGCAATTCGCCCATTTGGAAGTCTAATCCTATGTTTAGTCAAATCTGGTTGTTCCTCGATGTTTGGAAAAATCCTTGGATTCACTGCTTGTCTTTGTGTTAGATCAAGAATTTGACATCCAAATTTGTAAGAACTTCCGCTGCATGGTTTCCCACACCTATTAGGTGAAGGATTATCGCATGTTCTGGGAGAGGTACATCTGCCGACTGATCACCATGGTGACCATCCTCCATTTCGAGGAATACAAAAATCACATTTGGTAAAATCAATGTCGTTTTTTGAATTCAGAACATGAGAACTCTGGAGTACTAAAATAAATTTATATTAGAACGTCAGCTGTTTGTAGGAGAAAACGATTAAACAAGTTACTCAGGATAGCTTGAAGTCATACATTTTTTTTATTTTAAACATTTACCTTGATAAATAGGATTATTGGAAAGAAAATCGTGTATCTTTTAATCATTAGTACAATTTTACAGCATTGTGGCAACGCACTGAAAAAAATTACGCACTTTGAAAAATATTTTCAAAGTGCGTTAAAATTGGGACAAAATCAACGCACTTTGAAAAAAAAAATTCAAAGTGTGTTAAATTTTGGAGAGAATCAACGCACTTTGAAATTTTTTTTTCAAAGTGCGTTAAGAGTGTACATCAACATTTTTTACCATGGAGACACTTAACGCACTTTGAAAAAATACGTATAAAACAATAATTCTGGACTTAGATTTTAATAATAGACAGCATTTGTTATATTTTTTCCGAAAAACTGATGAATTGATCTACCCTCATCGAGAACGAGGGTAGATTTTAATAATAGACAGCATTTGTTATATTTTTTCCGAAAAACTGATGAATTGATCTACCCTCATCGAGAACGAGGAGAAGACTGGTAGAAAGTCCCTCAGCCCAACTCTCTATCTTTCCTATACAAATGTATGTATTTACTTAACTGGTATGACATTGATATTATTTCTCACAATAAATTTGAGTTAAAGTAAAAGAGATGAAAAAATTGAGATTAGTTTAAATTTCCTGAAAAAAAAATTACGCACCCTATTATATAAAAGAAGAGAGCTCCATAACCTTTATTCAAAATGTATACACAATGATTCCTCAGAAAAAATGCATTTACATGGTAATTAAAACATGCTATTTGACATGTCTAGCGTTTTTATGATATCAAATTACAGATTTTGAAGTAATCTGACTGCATAACTTTTTGAGAAAAAGTTATTAGTGAACGAGGTAAAAATTTCAGTCGACTGAGTAATGTGGCTAAGGGGTATTTTCTTACTATCAAATAAATGAGAACCATTGTTTTATAT